TTGCCCACCCCTGACCTAAACAGACAGGCCTGGCAAGAGCAGGTTTATTTAAAGAAGTGTCCACAAAAGATAATTGTGCCTCTGGAAAACTATTCTATTCTAATCTTTGTTTCCTTTATGACACTCTACGACATTCTCATCACACCAGCATGACCTTGAAACATGGTGGTGGCAGTATTATGCCGTGGGGATACTTTTCTTTAGCAGGGATAGGAAAGTTCTTCCGAGTTGATCAAATAAAATTGGTCAGAGTTAGAGTGAATGTGGGCCATCATGGAAGAACCTGTTAAGGGTTTCAAACGACCTGACATTTAAGAATTACATTAAAAATTAAGAATTACATTTACAGATATAGCTGGTAGGGTCATGTCCAAATACCCTTTCTACAGTAATTGTTGCAGCGATAATGCACAGTATACTTCTGGTTTTTACTGTGTAGAAATATCTGCTTGAAGTTATGTGTAATACTTAAGAAAAGATGTCTTGGTAACTTGGCAACAAAGCTTCAACCAAACAGGTTACAATGTCTGTCTCTCTGAAAACCATAAGTGGTCGTAGTCGTATGGATAGAGATTAAATGAAAAAAGCGCTGCAATTTTTGTCAGTTTAACAGCTTCCCTACTGTGTTTCTTGTGCTGTGCATTAGCGGCATACTCACCTTTTTGACTTTGCAGATGACTGAGCCAGAACTCCAAAGCTCTCAAGCTGTAAGGGAGAAATATGACGCGATATGAAATAACAGCAGAGTAGAGGTTACAGTTCAATATAAAAAGTTCACCTAAAAGATCATAAATAGCTTTAGTTTTTACTTTAAAAGGCCCATGAGGAAGGCTCGTAATCTCATACTGTGGCTGGTGAGCTGGGGACACTGTTTAATTTTGGAAACAAGGCTGTAGAGAACCTTGGTGGACGGACCTAAAGCAAAGATGCAAAGACTTAGAGACCATAAGCAAACTGACTGGTTTTAATTTAAATCTGCACATACCTATTCTTGTAGAAATGTCCACCACATTCCAGGAATGATTGCGACGCTGCCCTATTATGAAATCCAGCTTGTGATCTCTCAGACCGTCCTCTAAAATGTTCTGAATCGCAGGACACAAGTGTTCAAGGACGAGGCCTGCTATAGTGGAACTGTAGGAGCTGTTACCCAGACGCATCTGTAACACAAGGAAGAGAGGAACAGAGGCTGTGCTATAATGTGTGTCCTGCTGACACAAGTTATTTGACTCTTGTGCTGAATTATTGGCATCATGCTTTTCACAGGGACGTTTTGTTCTACTTGCTTAGTTCTGCTGACTCTTACCTTTTCTTCTGGGTCTCTGCTACTTCCAAAATGAGCCATGATCAAATCCACTGCATTGCTCACAGCTCTCAGCAAGCCTGGACACAATGGATGGATGGATGGATGGATGGATGGATGGATGGATGGATGGATGGATGGATGGATGGATGGATGGATGGATGGATGGACGGATGGATGGAAAACAAATACAAAGGGAAATCTCATTCAGAATCGAAAACATCAACATCCTTTTTACTCTGTTCTTTTTCCATATGAATCCAGAGCTGGATAATATTTATAGACAGCCTAGGTTCCATCCGAACCTAGTGTTTAAATGATTTTAAATGTGAACTGTGCCTGAGTACAAATAATCTGTAGCATCCCTTATTACAGTGCTTTTGCCCTGCCTCTCTTTCTCCATCTCATGTAGAGCAGCCCAAGCAAATGTCACAGTAAATTCTTTATGCATGTTGAAGCCGCCTGCAGCTCCACACCAATCATATTCTTCACTGCTGATGCCTCCATCTATGAAAACATGTTCTCAAATAATCAGACTTCATGTTATTAACTTTGCAAGTCCCTTTCCTGGTGGCATTAGGGCAAAAATACGATTAAGTGTGATATAAATATTTAGTACTACTGCATTAGTCTCTGTCTTATCTGGAGACTGCAGTCTCTCTCTCTCTCACACACACACACACACCAACACACCCCCACACACACACAAACAGAGACTGGAGAGCATAGAGCTCAGCCAATCCTGAGCAGGGATAGTTAAAAATAGGTCATGTTTCAGAGGAAGCCCCTTTAGGGTATTGAAGGCACTGCTGCAGCATTTTGAGGTTTGATTGCTTCTTTTAACAACTCATCATTGGCAAGATGTCACTACCGTGAAGCAAGTATGATTACACCAAAACAAATAAATTGATATATCTTCTAAATAACACAACATCAATGCATTTTTGGGCAACTGTCTTGAGGTAACGCTCACCTTTCCTCTGCAGATGACTGATAGACATTGACTCATAAGATGTATCCATTGAGAGGCAGAACTCTACGGGTGGCCTGTCGCTCACGATCAGAGCCTGGCTGCTCTGGCTCTGAGTTGGCATTGGGCTGGATCTAACAGGATCTTCAGTTTTCTTTTGGTGCAGGCCTGAAGAGAGGAATGAGCTTAAAGAAGAGAGGCATGCTGCAGCAGTGAGGGACTGATCTTGATGGAGCTTTAGCTGTGGTCTTGAGGGTTTTGGAGGTAGTAGGGACACTGGCAGGTTTGAAACCACGCTTTCAGGTGTTATGGGTAACATATGGGAAAGTTTTGAATGAAAATCAGTGTTAGTAATTCTGGTTTGAGCGGTGACTTGGTTTATTTCTGGTTGAAGGCTAAACAGGTCCTGGTATGTAGGGATCCTAACAAGGTTGGGCTGATGGCTTGTTGTTCCAGGGTTTAACCGTATTCTTTCCTGAGACTGAACTACTGCCTCATGGCTGGTCTCATTGGCTGTTGGTTGATACTTTTGACTCCACGTGTGTCTGTAGCTCAAACCTTTTGGACTTGGGGTGCAGGTGGAGCAGGTATCAGAGCTTGAAGCAGCCTCCAGGAATACTGGGCAGAGACTCTCCATAGGTGAGGTTTGCAGTTCAGATAAACATTGGCTTCTTTTCTCCTTGAACTTGAGGCCATTCTGGGAGATAATAGGTTTGCTGCTCTTATGATTTAGGTACTGCTCAAGCAGGCCTCCTAAGTTACATTGTCCAGGCTGGATCTGGGGCTTCTCTGTGTGAAGCAGAACAAATGGCTGGATGGGCAAAGAAGTTGGTCTTTGTAGCTTACTGTAGCGTACCATTTCCTTGTCACAGGACCAAACACCTGACAAGCATAGGGCATTATAATATAAAAAGAAGATTAATTTAAATCTTTATTTTTCTCTTGACATGCATTGTATGTTTTTTTTTATCCATTCATTGTCCAAAAGAAGAAAAAATCAAACACTCTCTCCTCACCCATTTCAGTAGCATCTGCATCAGTGTACTCTCTGTTCTGAATCACAGATGGCTGGGTGGATTCAGCTCCTCTTTCTTGGCATTTACTACTATGGGGGCTACTCTGGCCACAGCATGGCGAACAAGGCATGTAGGAGAAGCTCTGGATACCGTGCAAATGTTGCTTCCTGCAGGGGGCTATGTTGGTGGAAGTTGCGGTAACCTGCTGATCGCTTGCCTTAAAAAGAGAACAGACTAAATGAAAAAAAAAGAAACAAGATGACTGCATTCATAAACACCTACTGCACTTTTCACTAATCACTGAAGTTTTGGATTAATATCAGCAAAGTTTAGATGCTGTTTCCAAGAGAGAGAGATGGTTTCTAAATCAAAACCATTTATAATATTTTCAACATATGGAGGCACAGATCTGTTTAGATTTAAAAAAGTTGACTTGATTAACCTTTACAGATACGATATACATGAAGGGTTATGTGTCATGTAAGGCTATAGGAGACAGGTTAAAGAAAAAATTTTTCAAAGCAGCATTCATTTTATTTATTTATTTATTTATTTGTTTGTTTGTTTATGTATTTTCAGTTCAGCATTCCATAAATAAGAATTTAAAATATTTCATCCAGTGAGGCCTAAATTATATTTTTATCAACATATTTTTACAGAAACACAAGAACCCACCATTTGTCCTGTGATAGGGGACTCAAAAATATTTTTTGCATCAGATGTTCATCATCAAACTATTTGTTTTTAGGCATTCTAGTTTGCGTTCATAACAAACAGATAACCAAATGCTGCACCTTTTTGAGGTTACAAAATTAAGAAAAGTTTTGAAAAAGATGTAAAATGATTATCAGGCTCATACTTTTATGACCATGTTATTAAACATGGATGTTTGTACAATAAATGTTCTAAATTAGATCTATTTTCAATTTTTCATTTTGCTAAGATATAATTTAAAAAAATGAAATTCATTATTTACTCAATTTTACAGGATAAATCTGATATAAGCACAAGTATCAAGTATATTTAGATTTAATGAAAAACAATCCCTTTTACGCTTTGGTTTTAAGAGACTAATTAAGCACTAATATTGTTCCCTTTTCAACACCAACCTCCATGTTTTCTTTGGGTGGTCCTTCTTTGTTAGAACCAGGAGAGACTGGAATGGTGCAGCTTTTGCGGGGCTCTCCCAGACATCCAGTGAGGCCAGAGCACGCAGGGCTTGGGGACTGGGATGAGAGGTCACAGGTCACAAGCTTATAGTACTTCTGGTTTGTCTCCATAGCCAGTCTGTCTTGGCTTTGAATGCACGCGGTCAGGTCTGTAACCTCCAGAGAAGAGAGGCAAGGAGCCATCGGCTCTAAGGAATAAAGGTTGCAGTTTGAATCCATGCCAAATGGTTTGGGATCAGCATCTTCTTTCTGGGCCAGTTGAGGAGCAGGTTGGAGAGAGAGGAACACAGAACCCCCTGAAATCTGACATGAATCAGCAGCAGGACTGCTGAGATCCTGAGGTGTGGCAGGATTGTTGCTTTTATTGTAGATGGTGCAGAAGTTAACCAGTATGCCATCAGAGCTGTTACATGAGGAGTCAGTGTTGTCTTCTGTTTGAATGTTGGCTAGCAGCTCTGGGGAACATTTTCCATAGATATTCTGCTGTAGGATGTCCGAATTCTGCTCTGAACAAGACAGAAGAGATCTGCTCACAGGACAGCGATGGCATCTCTGCTGCAGTGAGTCCATCTGGTTAGACAGCCACTCTTGGTTTTTTCCCATCCCCAGCATTAACCCTTCATTGTTCCATTCAATACCAAGTTCTTCATGAAGAAATGCATCAATTCCTCCATGATTCAGTGACCAGTTGGAGTTTCCATGCAGCGCAAAAGAAGAGTCCTCATGATATTTGTGGAGATTATCTCCATCCCTGTCCTCTTCTTCCTCCTCATCCAGCTCTGGTTTGGGAAGAAAGGAGTTGTGTGAGCGCAGGTTATTTCCAGCTCCACAGCTTCCCTCCTTGATACTGGATCCTATTTCTTCTGGCGATGAGTTGGACTCGTATTTTCCGCTGCTGTCGCTGGTCCCCTCTTCCTCCACCTGATTCTCACAGAGACTACTGTAGCTGCTGGAAAAAGGTCTCCATCCTCCTGTGAAGGAGTGATCTCTGACAAGAGTGTCCTGCTCTGGGAGGGACACTGCTCGGGTCAGTCCTGATGAGCATAGCCGGCTCGGCCTCTTGGCTGATCTGGACAAGGCCTGGACTGGAAGCTGCCAAGCGGGAAGTTGCACCACAGGGAAATGACACGCTATCAGTGTGTGACCTGGTAGACTGGATGCTCCAATCATGCTGTCCCCATGTCCCGAAAAATATCCTGAAAGAATGAAACACATAGGGGTTTGTTTGGCAAAAAAGGCATAAAAATTATTTTTGTCACATTTTAAACTTCAGCAACTAAACACAGACATTCAATCTGAAATACCAACTAGTATATAGACTGTATGCATAGATATATAATTCAGTTTGGATTAAATAACAAACAGTTAATTCAAATGTGTGCATCCAATGCCTATGCTTTAAGATGATCAAGGTTTTTCTGTCCCATAATCATGTCACCTTTAAAAAAGGATTAAATGAAAGATTGTTTGCATTTCCACAAAAAAAAAAAAAAAAACTATGGATCACCATATAAATTTTTATTGGTGGTTCAGCCCTACTTGCAGATTAAAGGATAAATATTCCTTGTGGAGCTGTTAGGGTTATATTTTCCACTCTTAAACTAACTTTGGGATCTGATTAGGTGTCAGAACAATTGGCAAAAAAGAAATTCTAAATAAATAAACATTGTACATGGGATGTTTGCCATCTTACACAACAAGGTAAGAGACAAAAACAAAAAATCTGCATGGTACGGCCCTCACAGTCTGCACCACCAGTCCTCTGTGATGTGTGCCTCCAGGCTGCAGCCGAATGTTGCACTCTATAATTCAGTCGAATTCTAACAAACCCCCCCTATTGCTTTCTCCTCTAGGGCCAACCACAATCAAAGTGAGTTAGTCAGCTGCTTTGTAACTAGGGCAGCTGTGCTGCAGAGATACTCTGCAGACACTGCTGAAGTGTAAAAACATCTGCTTGTTTTTTTTTTATATTTTTCAGTCCAGGACATGACAACAAAATAACCCATTCTTTAAGAGGTTCTACAATCATAAGGTGTATAAAACACACTACATGTTTCGCTTCGTCCTTATTAGCCCTTATTAACCTAAAAAAGACAAATTAGCAAATTTACTAGGCCACTATCACAGGGATTAGGTGAGAAATAAAGACATGCTGTTTTGGAAAATGTAGATGTTTATTATACTGCCAAGGTGGAAGGATATTAGCAGTGAACTTCAGAAAACATGTTTTAATCCTCAGTTTGTTAAGAGTTATGAGGCAATATTCAAATACATTTTCCCACTCTCTGCAGTGAGAGCAATTGTTCAGTTATGGACATTTTACCTCAGTCACCTCTCCAGCTAGGACATTTTTTTTAAATTCACCCCAAGGTTGGACTTGTAATTCTCAGGCCTTATAAAGCGCGACAAGAGAAACGCTGAACATGTATATAAACTCCATTTATCAAAACATCTGCAAAAATGTCCTTTGACAGAAGACCTTTAAGCAGATATGTTTAGCTGTATGATATATAGCCCCAAAAATGTTGGGGCTGCATTATATGAATTTTCAATATGAATTTAAAAATAAATGTAATATCTAATCTAAACGAGATCATACATTTAATCAGCAATTTAAAAACAAAGTCCATCAGTTGAATGAATTCCTTTATTTCTTTAGTTTATAAATGATTTTTACACTTTAGAGACTTGCTGTAATGTTAAGTTAAAGCGTTATACAAAAACTAAAGAAGGAATTTAAGATATAGTTAGAAGATACATTTGAGGACAGAGTTTCACTGTTTTTACACTATATTTGTGCTCTTTAGATACCCATAACATCACATTTTTGTGTCAAACATCACTAGCATGAAAACCTGAGTTTTCATGTCTACAGTGCACATTGAAAACACAAAACAACCATGAGAGAACTACCTAAAGTATCATACAAATTGCTAAGTTCATAGAAAAAACATTTCTGTTCCATAACTGGCATTAGGAATTTGTAGAATAAAATGATCATTCACAAAATATGTTAATTTTGGAACTATTACAAATTTACAGATAAGAATATGATAAAAAAAAAAGTTGGATCAGAAAGTGCAACAAAAATAATGTGAATGGATTAAAATACAGCAACCTCTGCCTTCAAATTCAGAGAGATGTAATGGTTTGTACAGAACATTTTTCTGTAAAGTTTGACCAACTAAGAAAGAAATAGGTAAGCCAATATGAAAGACTGCAGAATCCAAGTGGATCAGCTCTGTCTTCATCTGGCTGGAGCACAGAGGGATGGTTGTGATTAACAGAACTCTGGATGTCAGTCGCTTCGTGCCAGCCATCTAACATTACAGATTGGAGTCAAAGTTAATGAATCCAGAGGCTGAAGCCCGCTGTGATTATAATGGCACTTGTTATCACCGTTTTCAGCCTCTAATGAGACGCCATGCCAACTAAAATTATCTGCATTTATTGAGTCAAAGAGAAGGAATAAGGGGGGACTTCAGGATAAAGATTCATCTCAGGAAAAGGTTTATGTTACATGATAAATGATGGCAAAGGTAGTTTTGCACCTGCAAAAAACATGTTTAGTCCTCGAACATTTTGTCATTACCACCGCCAAGAAGGTTATGTTTTTAGCCGAGTTTCTAAGGGTGTTAGTTTGAGTGTCTGTCTTTCTGTCTGTGTACAAGATAACTTGAAATCTTATGAACAGATTTTAATGCAATTTTTACCAAAGGTAGATCTAAGTCTGAGAAACAATCCATTAAATATGGCAGTGATCCTCATCATATATCCGGATGACGGAATGTTTTAGATAATTTTTTAACATTATTTGGCTGAATAAGCAGTTTCCTCCTGAACCAGAGGATGGCTGCAGTGACTATTGACAGCTTCAGCATCGTACTCAAAAAATCCAGAAGTATTATACTGAAGACAACAACGCAGGAAAGGTGAGCCATGCCTCGCTCAAAGTCTCAATCTGCTGATCAAAGAAGGAAGCAGAGTGCAGAGTTAATGATAAAGGTGAGAGCAGAACAAACACCTGAGGCTGCAGAAACATGCTGTGCCTTATTTATAAACCTATGAAAGAAAGGATTTTAAGTAAATTGTTACCAAAGGTGCATCTTATTTTAAAGAACATTTCATTTAAATGTGGTAATTATCCAGATCATGTGCCAGTTAGTGCTAGGTGGAAGTCACAATATGCTGCAAAATTTGCTGCTTGGCGGAGGTTTGCACCCTACCGGTGCATTTCTAATGTTTCTATAGATTTAGCTGAATAATTTGTCTGGGTCCTTTGCCCATATTCATGCTTTGATACAATCCATTTGTTGGAGCTCTGGCCATGATTAGAATTATTGTTCTGCCAGAAGATGAACATAAACCCCAGACTGAAGTCTTTTTCTGACTCTAACATTTTTTATTCCTGGATTTTTCTCTCAGATCCATCCATCTTGCTACAACTGTGACCAGCTTCTCCATCCCTGTTGAGGAAAACATTTCCACAGCCTGATGCCACCACCACCATGTTAAACTGTGAGTAACTGTGAGTTACCATAGCTATTATACCCAATTAATACTTTCCTTGTTCAAACTGTTTCTGTTAGTGGATGGAGATGAATTGATAAGTTTGAACTCTTGCCGTATAACAATTTTCAGATAATGGATTGAACAGTGATCAGTGAGCTGTTTAAAGCTTCATCTATTGTTTTTCACCATTTCAAACTTTCACCCCAGAACCTGTCCAATGTTTTACTTGGCCTTAATGATACTATTTGAACTATAATATTCTTAAAAAATATTTGATAACTTGATAAAACAGCTGTATTTATGCTGATATTAAGGTGTAATTAATTACAAGTGAGCTCTAAAGACTATAGTTTAATTTGAGTGTATTAAAGAGAATGGATATGCCTCACTTTTCAGTGTTTTTTTTTAAGGTTCCAAATGCATACTGACTTACCATTATGCTCTAATGTGTCTTCATTTTCTGCATAGCAACTTTAAGCTTTCCAAATGTAGGTGGTGATATAAAAAGCTTTTTATTTGTCTTAAGGTGTTTTAGGATTCAGAATAATGTTTAGAAGTGGTATACATAAGGATATGATAAAAAAAATAGTATGCATTGAGTCTATTCAAAATACAAAATACACATGTTACACATGTTTCTTTCTTGCTTTTTTTTGTATTTCATCTTGGCATCGCAGGCTCCGATCTCAAAGAAGAACCTTCTGGAAAGTTAGAAGATGTTTTAGATATTATCTTTTACATGAGTTACATGCAGTGCAAAAACGTACATTCTTTTTTTTAGTTTTTTTTTTATTTATTTTGGTTTATAGTGTTGATACTGCTGCAGTCAGTCGTTTAACATCATTGCTGATGTGATTTCTTATTCAATAACACTGTATGAACAGAAAGCAAAATGAATTGGAGCTGATATTTGTCCAAGGCTGTCCTTTGAGACAGTGACTTCTGTCAACTACATCAGTTTGATCAGTACCTTCCAATTGGGAGCATGCATAATTCAATTAAATTTATATAGGATGGAGTTCATCTTTATTTGTGATATAGGTTTGATTTTTAAGAAATTATGATGATACCCTGCAAATATCCTATGATTATCAGATAAATCTATATTCAGGGACCGGATTTATATTTGTTCTTCTCACTGTCCTATAATTAAAAACTAAACACTAAATACAATGTACACTCACTTTCTCCCAGGATTGTTTAAATAGGACAACATAGAAAAAAAAGGGGGTTGTGCACACATGACCAAAAAAATCATCCATGCCCAGAGCAAAGCAAATGACCAACAGTGGAACAGCATAAAAATAAATGGATTTAGTAAGAAACAGGTAGCATTGCTTATGTATAAATATATTTATTAAAACCTACTTGAAAACAACAGAGTTGATGTCCGTCTTCCTCTTGTGGATCCCTAAAGTCCGAAATCATGAAAAAAAAAATCTCTTGGTTTACAAAAACTTGTGCAGTTTTTGAATAATATATATATATAAACCAAACTATTATTAAAATCTTCCTATTTAATCTGTGGTGGAAACATGAAACCGGTCCGGTAAGCAGATCCGGACACACGCGCGCGCACACAAACGATTATCATCAGTCTCCACGCAGCCACATCAGCACCGCTCAGCCTGCCGGAGATGTTACGTCACGACTGCTGTGGCCAATGAGAAGACAGAAGAAGGTCTGCTCCTAAAGTATCCAGGACACAAGGTAGGATAAACGGCAGAGACATTGCTGTACTGTTCAAATCATTTTAATTGGCTCCGTTTTTCGTCATTAATGTATAATTCTGTCATTGTGGTTGTTCTCTGGGTGAGCCTCAAACATTTACAATTTTTTAAACCATTTTTAAGCTGATAATCTCAATAAGTGAATTAATCATTTATTCCTTAATTTCTTCGCATCTCAGCATGATGTTAATCTTTTGAAGATTTTTCAGTTTCCTTAGTTTTGTCAGGCATCTCCTATTTAAGTGCTTTTAAGTTTTTACTTGTGTTACATTTAAAAATACCAAAATGTGACAAACAAGCAAAAAAGAAACAAAAAATTCCCATTACTGTATTATTTTATAGAAAGTGTAAAAATGTAAGAAAGAGCTAAAATAGGGACATAAAAACAAAAAATAAATTCATATATATAGGAATTTAGAATAAAGCTAACGATAACAACAATAAAATTGTTTAATAGTACCAGAGGTAATCATAGTAATCATGTAAATAGATCCTTATTTTTCTTTATTGACACAGGGCTCCCTCTGCTGGTAAAAGGGTTAAAGAGAAGAAGCTGCACACACTAGCAGTAAAATTTCAGATGCATTGATACCATTTTAAAAAACCACTAGAAGACTTCCAAGCAGAGGTGTCAACTAATGAAGTACAAATACTTCGTTACTGTTCTTAAGTACACTTTTTAGGCATCTATACTTTACTCAATTAATTATTTATCTTCCTATTTCTGACTTCTACTCATTACATTTTCACACAAGTATCTGTACTTTCTATTCCTTACATTTTTTAAAACAAACGTTACTCGTTACTCTTGGCTTCTGTTTAATGTTTCTAAATATTTATTTCCCGTCATGTGCGCCATCCAATGCAGATCATTGGTGCCATCCACTTCTAGTGAAAACTAGTGTAATTGGATGGGTCATATAATGCAAACACTCATTGGTTAGCTAAAGGAACTCATCAGAAGCAAGCAGGTGTTCTTCAAACTGCCAACGTGAATTGTCTATGCCATGCTACAATATAGATTCAGAAAAAGATGTTGAAATGTCTGAAAAGTCGGACACAGGCGAGAGCGTATCGGGAGACCAAGACCAACAAGACCTCCCTCATCCTTGGCCCTCTCTCAAAGAATTTTTAGAAATAGTCGGAAAATGTAGCTTTCAATTCCTATAGCGGCATCTGGCCTTTTTTTTTTTAAGTTTACCTTATGCTTTTATACTTTACGTCGTTTTTGGAGCACATCGTTTTTCACTTTTACTTGAGTAAAGAGGTGAAGTTGATATTTCAACTTTTACCACTTTGTTTTTTAACTGCAGTATCTATACTTCTACTTAAGTAACAAATGTGTGTACTTTTGACACCAATGCTTCCAAGTATCCATGTCCGTCAAACACACCCTCTGCATTTATCTTTACTACCATGAAAGTCATCTCTTTATGTTTTTCTTAAAAGACATTCATATTACAATACTCTGTGTATTACGTCTACATTGCTTTTAATGTAGCTGACCCCTGCAGCAACTCTACCAAGAATCACCGTCCTACTTTAATCAATCGCACAAAGAATAAAGACGGTTCTGAAGCCAAAAGAGACATCAAATAACATGATCAGTGAGTGTCTGAAATGTCCTTGATATTGATAGATTTTGAATTCTTGTAATATGCCATGAAATTGAAATGTTTTACATATGGTATAAGCAGAGGAGTTGTTCAAAAGACAAATGTTGCTTGTGAGATTTGTTCTGTTTGATCTAAGATAGATTCTGACCTTCACTCATTTTCAAATAATAGTTTAAGTTTCTAAGTTATTTTCTCACATATGGGCAACTTTAATGCACATTTATTTATGCAAACATTGTGTGAATATTTACGAGACGAGTTCAGTTTGTATAACAGAGGGATTCATGAGCAAAATAGATTTTTACGTAAAAACTGCAAACGCATTTAGATGACGACCATGTTTGGTTGCCTAAAAGGAAACTGTCAAACAGATCAACAAATAAAAACTATATGTATATCAAAGAACAATTTGCATGTTCTTTTCCATTTAAAGGCGGTAAGAGATGTGAGGGATAGTTTACGATGCTGTAAAATTGAAAGGCAAAGAAGATATGGGCAATATAAGCTCTTGAAAAAAGTAGAGTGTATTTGAATATTTACAATGTTACAAAAAGTACAAATAAATACATCAGACTAACATGTACCAATGAACTCAGAGCTCAAAGACTGTGGAAGAACGTTTGTATTTTCTTATCAAACATACATTCAGATTACACAACTTGTCCAGTGATGAGGCTGACACGTGGAAGATGGTTTTACAGCTTTGTTTTTCTTTCTGTGGCTAAAGTTCCTCCAGAGGGGCATAAAGGGTATTGAAAAAATAAAAAAAAGGAATCCCTCAAATCTTTCAGTAGAAGGGAAATTTCACACAGTTTGGTCCATTTGTTTCAGAGTTGTGTTTCTGGTTCTTTTGCAGAGATGGAGTGTCAAAAGGAACATTTGTTTCTCCTGCAAAGATAAGGACAGGCTTAATTACAGCATTAGGACTCTGATTGCACCATGCAAAATGCATGTGAACACGTAATTAAAGCTTTACACAAATCTGATCACACAGAGATGCTTAAATGGCAGAAATAATATTTTTTTTTCAAGTAAAGATGAGTTTTAAAAACAGGTGGAAGTGGAACAGGTATATCAACACATTCTGGATGATCAGATGCCATGAAAACAAAACCTATTACAGTAGAGAATTTATGAATGAAAGAATTTAGTTTTACCTGCAGTGTTTCGTACCACACTCTGAAGGATCTCTGCAGCTCGCTCCAACAGGTTTCATACTGTTCCAACGCCACAGCAGTGATCGTTTTGTCCTCTGGATCAAGCCATTCCAGTCGTCAGGAACAGGTAGTGCATTGACCTGCAAAAGTAAATATTAGACCCTTCAGAATTTTTTTTTTTATTGATACAGGTTACAAATTGTTAATTTATAAATGTAACTAACCTGAGTCAGACATATAAGGGATAGAAAAACAGAGAGGATAATGATCTTTTCCTGAAGCGTCCTCATGCTGTTTTCAGGTGAAGCTTGTAGATACTCTTATCCAGGCTTGCTGTGCGGTTCCTCGCTCCTTGTATTAAAGGCCTTCATTTGGTTGGGGAGGAGTTAACCTCTAATTCATTCAATACATCTGTCACTGTAAAGGTGGATGTTTGGCAGAACCAATTGCCTGAGTCAAAATCAGGGTTGGAAATCTCTTGCTGAGTACTTATCAGTTTTATAATGACAGCCAAAGTCAAGGTTTATCTGGAGGTATCCAAAGTACACTTTAATCTGGTAATGTAGGACAGGTCCACGTCAGAGGTATCGTTGAAGGCGTCGTACAGGTTCTGATAAGTGGATACTCTGTAAAATGTATAGATACTTTTAAATAGTTATGTTAGCTTAGCTTAACATGGATGAAAGAAGTATGAGAAAACTGCAAACACACAGTAACACAGAATGCAGTGTGCAAACTGTAAAAAAAAAGCGCTTCTCTCCAAGTACTTTATGATTATCTTTTAAGAACCACAGATGTTATTAAACTTTATATCAAGCATTGAGGGTAACATTCTCTCGCTTATGTCTAAAGATCGAATATAATTATAAGAAAGTATTTTCTGTATTAGCTGTATAATCATCCAAACTCTGCTTATGATCGCCTGGTTAGATGACCCTGCTCAAAGCTGGGCAGAGCTGTTTTCTGACAAAGGCAAGAAAACAATAATCACAAATGTTTTTTTCACATCTGATTAAAGAAGTTCATTTTGTTTAGATTGATTTGGATAACCGCCTTTGTGAAACTCCTGAATAGATTTTCTGTTTTTCTTAACATATGGAATGAATCCATCGTCCATCAATTATTTTTTTTTAAGCATTTTTTTATGTGAAATTTTAATCAACATCCACTGTGTGATCCTACAGCTGGACCAATAGCTGTTTGTGCCTATATTTCTCAACCAATAAAGCCAAGAGATGGGAGTGTGGGAAGCCTTCAAGGGATTTTGTGGGTTCTTTGTGAAAGCCAACAGCCTGATCCTGCTGGATCAAGTAGGTAATCTCTTTGTTCTACAGCTGCACTTCTGATATGGGAAAGTGATGGTTAAATGTTGGCAAACCTTTTTTATTTTAATAAACTTTTGAGCATTTTTAAAGATAGGAGAAAGATAGCTTTGCTTCTTCACATTTAAAATAATGATTGTTCAATGATAAGTCAAATAATTTATCCCTAAAATAGATTTAATAGACTGGCTGATTTATGAATGTATATAGTTTAATTGAGCTTTTCAACATAATCCTAGCTTAATTAAAAAAGAAAGTCAATTTCCTTTTATCAGTAACAAATAACACAGCTATCCATTTGAATACAAAAGTAACCTAAAACGTCAGTATCCAACAGCTTATACAAGGTTCTTAAGACATCTAATCAAGTTCGCCTCTAATTATCTCTAATGACTATATCATCCAGGTTGTTACCTTATTCTCACTAATTGAACAAACAGTTGGGATTTAGGTAAAAACAAAGTAAATAATGTTTGAATCACACATAATTTATTGGTTGTGACAGATGACAAGACAAAGTGAGCAATACAAATGGAACCATTTCTGTGAATTTTAGCATTGATTACACATTATGTTTAGACCATTAAGTAGTGGTGTAAAGACCCTTGACAAAGCAAGAAACATCAACAGTATTTGTCAGGTAACAGTAAATGGTCTAACTTATATCAGAAAAGTGCACAATAATTTTGTTGTGGGCAGTGTTAAAATGGACCAAGCTGTCTTTTGGCAAATAAGCCACTTTTAAAACCTCAACCCAGCTGGACAACAGTTATTTTCTCAAGCAACTTACATTTCCTAATAGAAAAAAAACAAACTAAAATGCATGTTATGACACATCCATAAAACTCAATGCACACTCCTTTTTAGCAATATCCAGAAGCATCATTAAAACAAAAAAGAAGTGTTGAATTGGGCAGGTAAAAAAACAAAACAAAACATTTTTTGTTTTCTGTTCCTACAAAAACCGTCACAGCAGGTAAAACCTATCCCTTAGTCCTTAGGAAGCAATACTGTTTATGTGTTATGTCATATACTTTAGGCCAGTCCCATTTCAGCCCCATATCCCTACTTTTCACCCTACTTCTAAATGTTTTGTGTTCCTTTGAGGGTAGGGATGTCCCAACTCCTCTTGGCATGTAGGGGTAGTGGACATAAGAGGGTAGGGTGAATGAATCTAGCCCTTCAGAGCGAGGGATCTCAAATGCTGGCAAGGGACAGCTCAACAGGGAGTAAAGAGATTCTACGGAGCAACATTTTTTTTTTTACTTTTAAAAGCCAAACAAAGCTGTCGGCATCCCTGGGTTCAACAGATTCTCCCAGACAACAGAGGGAAGATAAGACGGCATGCTTGAGCTAAGGCAGGAGCAGCAGGAAATCAGTGCGAGATAACTGGGACAGAGAAGACTAGAACCAATACGAGGTGGCCAGCCGTGCGCCCCTCTGGAGCTAAGGAACAACAGCGGGAAATCGTGGAGGAGAGTGGTAGATCGGAGAAGCCCGCTGGGCAGACAACGCACCAGAGGGGTTGAGATGCGGCAGTTAACGGGTGTTTGCATTGGAAGTAGGATTATGAAACAGTTCTTCTAAGACTAACTTAAAACAGCTTTTTTAAAAGCTACTCACAAACCTTTTAAGAGCGTTTCCCACTTGATCCTTAGTCAACATTATTTTATTTTTTTTTTTTTTATCTTCCATTTTATTAAAAAACGTTTTTTCCGCTCTCTCATGGTTGGACGTATCTTCCGCATGTGCATATGTAAATACGCAGTTGCTTAGTCACCAGAACACGAAACATGTAACGAGGGGTGTCCCAATTCCTACAAAGCCCTATGCCTTGTGGCTTCAATTCAAAGTTGTAATAGTAGTGGGTGTGGGCTAGTAGTAGTGAATAAAGGCTAGTGGTTGTAAGTAGAGAGAACATTGGGATTGGGCCTTTGTCAGAATCAAGTTATGTAGAATGCCATTGTTTTCAAACAACTGAATCCCCATTACATTACAACTCTAAAAGGCAAGAAACTCGCAGATCCAATCATCAAATAGTCATTGAGTAAACTATAAATACCCTTTGAGGCTGTCTCAAATAAAAACATTTAGTCTATACAAACCATACATACACCATTAAACATTATTTCAATGGTCATTGTATTTGCAAATCCTTTTTGTACACAAAACCTTAAAACAGATTTTCTTTTCCCTAAAAAAAAAGGTATAGGNGGCAGTGTTAAAATGGACCAAGCTGTCTTTTTGCAAATAAGCAACTTTTAAAACCTCAACCCAGCTGGACAACAGTTATTTTCTCAAGCAACTTACATTTCCTAATAGAAAAAAAACAAACTAAAATGCATGTTATGACACATCCATAAAACTCAATGCACACTCCTTTTTAGCAATATCCAGAAGCATCATTAAAACAAAAAAGAAGTGTTGAATTGGGCAGGTAAAAAAACAAAACAAAACATTTTTTGTTTTCTGTTCCTACAAAAACCGTCACAGCAGGTAAAACCTATCCCTTAGTCCTTAGGAAGCAATACTGTTTATGTGTTATGTCATATACTTTAGGCCAGTCCCATTTCAGCCCCATATCCCTACTTTTCACCCTACTTCTAAATGTTTTGTGTTCCTTTGAGGGTAGGGATGTCCCAACTCCTCTTGGCATGTAGGGGTAGTGGACATAAGAGGGTAGGGTGAATGAATCTAGCCCTTCAGAGCGAGGGATCTCAAATGCTGGCAAGGGACAGCTCAACAGGGAGTAAAGAGATTCTACGGAGCAACATTTTTTTTTTTACTTTTAAAAGCCAAACAAAGCTGTCGGCATCCCTGGGTTCAACAGATTCTCCCAGACAACAGAGGGAAGATAAGACGGCATGCTTGAGCTAAGGCAGGAGCAACAGGAAATCAGTGCGAGATCACTGGCAGAGAGAAGACTAGAACCAATACAAGGTGGCCAGCCGTGCGCCCCTCAGGAGCTAAGGAACAACAGCGGGAAATCGTGGAGGAGAGTGGTAGATCGGAGAAGCCCGCTGGGCAGACAACGCACCAGAGGGGTTGAGATGCGGCAGTTAACGGGTGTTTGCATTGGAAGTAGGATTATGAAACAGTTCTTCTAAGACTAACTTAAAACAGCTTTTTTAAAAGCTACTCACAAACCTTTTAAGAGCGTTTCCCACTTGATCCTTAGTCAACATTATTTTATTTTTTTTTTTTTTATCTTCCATTTTATTAAAAAACTTTTTTTCCGCTCTCTCATGGTTGGACGTATCTTCCGCATGTGCATATGTAAATACGCAGTTGCTTAGTCACCAGAACACGAAACATGTAACGAGGGGTGTCCCAATTCCTACAAAGCCCTATGCCTTGTGGCTTCAATTCAAAGTTGTAATAGTAGTGGGTGTGGGCTAGTAGTAGTGAATAAAGGCTAGTGGTTGTAAGTAGAGAGAACATTGGGATTGGGCCTTTGTCAGAATCAAGTTATGTAGAATGCCATTGTTTTCAAACAACTGAATCCCCATTACATTACAACTCTAAAAGGCAAGAAACTCGCAGATCCAATCATCAAATAGTCATTGAGTAAACTATAAATACCCTTTGAGGCTGTCTCAAATAAAAACATTTAGTCTATACAAACCATACATACACCATTAAACATTATTTCAATGGTCATTGTATTTGCAAATCCTTTTTGTACACAAAACCTTAAAACAGATTTTCTTTTCCCTAAAAAAAAAGGTATAGGAGTGAGTTGATTAGTAGAGACATGAAGGTAACAGTTTCATGCACAGCTTAAAGCATATTTTACGTAGAGATCAGCAATGTCAGTTTGTTTTTATTTTTTAACTAAAGAATTACAATTAGTTTTAATACTTTAAAATTGTACTTGGTTTCATTGAAAATCCCATATTTAGTTGTTAAAAAGGTAAGACTTATAAAAAAAAAATGAAATGTCAGCAACAATACAGCAAACTTAAATGCTCGTTACAGACGCATAGGTTTCCCGAAGCCTTTGAATTAAAATATTAAAAAGAAAACGCATAGGTTATGAGTGGTGACCTCCAGATTAAAAAAAAATGGCGTTTTTGGCAACACCACTCTTCTCATCACATATTTTGTTTAGTGCTAGGATGAGAGCAAGGGCTGACGTTCGGCTGCAGAGCTCTGAAAAACAGCAAACATTACATTTTTTATTAGCAAACAATTTTCTGAATACCAAAATATTGCTTTTTATTCATTATTTCCAAATTAGCATAACTTTATTGAAAAACTTTATTTGGCCCTCATTTAAATGTGGAAAAAGTCAGTTTTAAATGAACTAAAAACCGAGATACAAATATCTGCATAACAACATATATTCAAGTGTGATCAAGACCTACTGAAACAGGATTACCTTTTCCAGATTAATAATCTATTCTTTCATGTAAATAAGGAAAACAAAAGCCAGTGTGTTAGCTCATGTGATGTTCCCTTTCGTGATCGTTCTGTGGTGCATGCTCACCTCTGGGAGTTTCTGTCGACACATCAAAAACATAAAGATTCCTCCCAGGATGATGCCCACTCCAATCAGCATGAAGGGAATGTTCTCCACGACGTTCTTCTGAACAGCAATCACTTGCAGCTTCTTGGCTGATGCATCGTCAATAAGAACGCTCTGGAGGTCAGGTGAAGAAAATCAACAGAAAGCTTTACAGTTTCACAAACAATACATAAATAATCCATATAACTAATTCAATAAATACAGTTAACTTTACATAAAGCAAAAAGCAATTTTAAGTCTACTCAAAAGTAAAAATAACCTAAATTAAAATATTACATTTCTGTCAAGATGTATAAAAAACAGATAACTCAGATTTTTTTAATGTGTACTAATGAGGTTTAAATTCTTTAAAGCAACAGTTTAACCTTTTGACCCCAGTAGTAGCTTAATTTGAGATTTATTAAATTATTTTCGAGGTCAATATACAGCACCTGGTGCCAATTCTCTTCTCAGATACATCCTTTTGTAACGTTAGAGGGTCAGATCCATTGCTAAATGAGTAATGTGACAGAATGGATGCTGAATTAGTGGATCTTTACAGCAGTCTGAGCTCCCCTTTAACACAAGAGCTAACTACACTAAAAGGATATAATCTAGAGCCCGTGTTTTCACTAAGACTAAGAAAGTAGAGCACCTGTTCTAAAGTCCTTATACTGGCTCCCTGTATCTCAGAGAATAGACTTTAAAATACTTCTGTTAGTCTATAAAGCTCTGAATGGCGTAGCACCTAAATACATCACAGACTTGCTATCAGTGTATGAACCCTCCAGACCTCTCAGGTCTTCTGGCTCCAGCCTGCTCTGCATTCCTAGAACCAGAACTAAACATGGAGAAGCAGCATTTAGTTCCTATCCTCCACTTATCTGGAACAAACTTCCAGCAAACTGTAAAAAGTGCGGAAAGCCTGAGTTCCTTTAAATCAAGATTAACAAACACATTTGTTTAGGATTGCATTCGACTGTTAAACAGTTCAACTGGAACATCATTAGTTCAACTTTTTTATTTTCTTTAGTCCAAATGTTTTTAATGTTCTTTTTTGTTTCTGCATTTTTTATTTAATTTTTTTTCCTACCTGCTTTGATTCAGTTTTATTTTCTTTTATTTTAATCATGTAAAGCACTTTGCATTGTCTTTGTACTGAATTGTGCTATACAAATAAATTTGCCTTGCCTTGCCTAGAGCTGTGAATGTGACGGTGTCTTTAAGTAACTCCATGACCTCTCAATCTGCTAGTCTTAAAGTTTCTGCTTTCATTTCCCAAAAACATAAAGTGTGACTGTTTGATTGGCAACACTGCAATGTTGCAAATGAGCTAATGGGGGTTAAACCTGGAAGTTACAGGTCAAGTGCCACCTGGTGGCTAACTGTAACACAGCATTGCTTTAAAGTTTGCTCATCTGGTTGTAAATTAAAAATAAATATTTTCTGACCTAAAGAGATTACTGTTTAATTGTTAAAGTTTATTCTTTCATCACCACTTTACCTTGTAGCAAGTTAACCTTAAAATGAAATTTAAATTTAGTTACCTCACGTTAGTCTTAACAGAAGTTAAATTATTGAAGTAATAATCACACTAGCAACTTTTTTTATATTTGATTATTCTATGGAATAAAAAAGTGAAAAAATCCAGTTAACATTTAATTTCTTTAATAAATCCCATCACAGATTACACTGATAACACCATTAATATTATCTGTAAGATTAATATTAACAATTAAGCAAAAAACAAGAAAAAATTTAAATAAAACTGAAAAGCAACAAAACAAACGAAAACTAGAAAATAGAGGTTGTTTACTTTGAATATTGCCTGAAATTAGTATGAATCAAATTTTATTAGTTTTTACCTCATTAAGATACACCACAGGGAGGATCACTGTCGGCACATTCTCTGCTTGCCTGAAAGGAAACCAAAAAAAGAGCCAATGTTTCTTGTTTCTGACTGCAATAATGTCCAAAGATAGTTATGTTTACATATTTTTACAATATAAGCCGATTTAGCTTCCATGTTTTAAGGAGAAAAAAGTAAAAAAAAAAAAAAAATCCATTAAGTCAAAATGCAACAAAGAGGCAAAGGCTGTCAAACAATTAAAACCTCAGAATATGGAAGTTAAATTAGTTTACAATTTGAGTTCATAAATGGAGATTCAATATTTCTAATAAGAGGAGAGAAGTCAGGTTAAACTAAAGATATTTTAATGCATACTCCCTTGTCTGCCAATGACTGTGTCCCCAAAACACTTCTGTTAGCAAGCCCTGCAGGCGGCAGTGATCAGAAGCAGCCAAGCTTTCTTATAACATGTTGTCTATGATTCATGCATTCATTTTAATCCTTGAAAATAAACAACTTTAAAATAATGCTACGCATGTTTTTGAAGGGTTTTTTTTACTTACAGAAATCAGAAAATATTAGGATAAATATATAAAAACTTAAGAATTTTGCATATTTACCTTAACAAGACCAAGTGATCAGAAGTATGAGGTGTTTCCAGGTACCTCTAATCATGTGCCTTCAGTCATGCAATGACTAAACAAAATCAGTTGGATTTTGTTTAGTCATTGCATGCATGTGCATCAACTAAACAAGGAACTAATGGAGTTATGCAAGTCAGCATTTTTCCAGGTATGAAAGAAGGAGGAAAAGTAAAAGTGCAAAAAAAATATATTGGATACAAAGAGGGATAAAAATGAGTAGCTCAAAACATTCAGGCCTCTGAGCCACATCTGGCCCGCAGTGGGATTATAGTGGGCCCATCTGATGGTTATAGATGTCTATTATAACTGACCTGATAATAGAAAGCGCATGCAGAGCTAATAATAAAAATTCTGAGCTGGTCCGTTGGTGTGAATCCACCAAGATTACACAATGCCTTTTTTCTATTGACAGTATCTTGGCTGCTTCAGACCACCAGTTAAATTTGGGCATCTAATCACAAAAAAAAAAAATAAAAACCATAAGGACATTAGGATATATGCTTTATAAATTAACATGTTCTGTTAATTTAATTCAAATTGTTGAAACTAAAGAAACAGGGAGAAAGATTAAAAAGTTGTAAAAACGTTTAGTCTGCCAAAATAAACCACTGGCCAGTCAGCTGGGCTAAAAACATTGCTTTGGTTTACCCAACCTTTTACCCAAAGTAAGGTAAGGACAGTGACCTAAAACTGTAAAAGGTTCTTTTCAGGACAGACTTTTTGTGATTCTATGTACGTATACCACAGAAGCTAGTGTAACCGAAATACAAACAAACAGAAAACCAAAGAGCTTTACATTGCAAACATAAGCCCTTCTTTTCTCTTTTAAATTGAATTAAGAGGTGGATTTTTGCCTCTTAAAATAAAATCTATATGAAACTTCTCCTTATGATGCACAAACAAAAAACAAAACACCAAGCTTGTATTAGTATTTTGTATTTTGGAAATAGCTTAAGCAGTAAGAATAACAAGAAAGAAGGAAAGTCAGATGTCATACATGCACAAACAACTGAGAAAGGTTCCTTCCAAAGGTCCTTAACAGAGGGATGATGGAAAAATTTTTATTTTTTTACTGGCAGACAGCCCCTCCCAGTTATGAATAATCATTCAGTTGTTGCTTTCATTTAAGGCCAATTGCCACAGTAAGATTTGTGAGTAACAACCTGTCAGCTCAACTTCCAGTGAGCTAATGCGTGACAAGCGACAGCTTAAGGAAGTGAGCTGATTACCTGAAGTCTGGAATTTTCTCCACATAGACGTTGATCTGGAGGCGTTTAGCGGCTTGTAGGATGATCCCAGTCAGCTGCAGAAAACAAAACCAAAACCTGTTAGCACAATGAAGACAGCCTTGTATCTCGTCTGTGTGTCTTAATTCACCTGCAAGGTTTGAGATGCAATTTTAGATCAAAATTCAAAAAAATATTTTTTAGAATCACATTCCTCTCTTCCATTAATATTTAACCAATAAACACACAAGTTACCCCATTGTTTATTTCAGATATGTCTAAAATTATACAACAGATGATGGATTGACAGACACATTAACAAATGAATGGAAGCAAAAAAAAGATGGATACAACTTAAATGCAAATGGGACAAGAATTGTTTACTCTAGACGGATGATTTTTTTTTTCTATAAAACTTTCTTTTTCCATATTTATGCTAACCTTAAAAATCTAGTTTCAATAGATTTCTGGTCTTTTATCAATTTTTTTGTCAGAACTCTTCCAGCATAACATCTAAACATTTGAACCTAATTACATTAATATTGACTATTTAAACCAACTACTACCATTTAAAGAAGAAAAATGTTACTCTACATTATAAGGTCAACGTCAGGCTTTAATAGCACAAGAAGAATCTTTAAGACATACAATTTTAATCCGTATAATAAATCAAATTATATTTACAGCTGTTTTAATTTTGGTTATAGCACAGCTATAAGTAGGACTACAATAGGTTGCATTATATTCCTTACAAGACATCATAAACGCAGCCGATGAGAGCAGAATAGAAGAAGACAGTATAGCTACATAGCCAATTGGTAAAAATAATGTAAGTTGAAACTCAAACCAGCACCATTCTGATTAAATGTCAACCACCCTACATGTTAAGCTGCACACACTCAACTGTGCATTTCCTTATAGAAAAAGCATCTGCACAGATCTGAAGACGGTTGCAGATAGATCATAGGTCTTTGCAAAGTCTCAGAGATCTCCCATGGCAACAAGTAGACTACAGGAAAACAGGATGGGGGTAAACCATAATTGGTTTACAGGGTTCAAACATGCACTTAACGCTATAAAAGCTTACGTCACTGTTGGTTGCAGGTTTCCTTTGGATGATAATGCAATTTTTATTTTGGCAGATCTGAAAGCTTAGCACCAGTGCAGCAATGCAGAAATGAAATCCTTGCAACCCTTGAAAAATGAAGCTATGACAGGCACCTTAAGGTTCAGGTTTAGATGGGACAATTATTACAACATAGTATGATTGTGTAAACAGATAAAAGTTCATACTTTTTGAAAGGGTCAAGCTTCTATTTTTAGAAGTCAAGGCTTCTATTTCAAGGACTGTTTGGAAATGTCCTTTACTAGCTTTGCAACAAAAAAAATGTTTGCAGAACTTTGCCTTTGTCTGTAAAAATAATTTCCTTCTAACAAATAAAATGTCAGAAAAAGAGAAAAAAAAACACATTACACTTTAAGGCAAAGAAAATTAGCACTATTTAAGTTGTTTTAAAGGAATATACACTAAATCTGCACATTGATGAGATCACAGGTGCTTACTGTTGTTAATCCATCTGCCACTTATCAATTATCCATGCCGAGATCAATCAGGTTATTATAGAGTGAAAAGATGATATCAGCTGTCAAAGCTTATCATTGGAAGATTTCAGTACCTAGTACGACTGTCCCCAGGCTCACCACAGACTAGCAGCGGTTAAAATGAGATATTTCACCACCTAGTGGGATCATGTTGTGCTGCAGATGTTACAAACCAATTAACATGATAATTAAATATGTTAAGGAATCAAAGGAACAATAAGCAATAATGATAACTAAGCATTCAAATGGGAGCAACCCACCAAACACAAATGATGCTGAAGGTACTGTACTGTTGAGACAATCTGTGCTCTGCTTCTATTTCTGGCGTCCTTGCTCGCAGGCTGCTGCTCTTTTGCCAACATAAAATACCAAATGCTTCGCTCTGTTTTGTAAACCTTTGGAACTCTCCTATGATTGGTTCAAGTACCAGGAAATAAATAAGGGCAACACACCATGCATCCAAATCGTTCTGGAATATGCCTCTAGGTTTAAAAGAAGAAAAACCTCACTGTGACGCTGCTGATGGAGAGGATCGTTTGTTTACAGGGAATAATTACTTCCATCTTGGTTAATAAATGAGAATATTTAGGTGAATTATGCAGTAAATCTCTAATTTATTGCTCCTTTAATTAATTTAAATTAAATGAAATTAGGTTAAATCTTACTGGATTGATATCAATGGCAGTCTGATGCTCCTCCTTCTTAGGCCTCATGCCAAACACGTCCTTCACAAATTTCTCATCAGCCTGGTAGAAGTGTGGTGAGGACATGATGATGGGAGCTCCTAAGCACCAGCAAGATACAAATATGCAAGCAGATCATCATTAGGGAAATTTCATTAACCACCAAGGCCAAATATTAACCCCCTCATTTCCCACCTTGTTTACACATGCTGACATTGAGCAGGCCTGAGCCGAGGCAGTTACCGGCCGGCACACAGAAGCCCGTGTTGGCCGGGTTCACGGTCAGATTGGCAAAAACTTCGAAGGGGGGGGCAAAGCGATAGCCAGGGATCCCCTTCACAATCACATCATCGGTGTAGACTGCATACAAAGACCTTTAAAACAGAATCACATGCCGAGTATTCTTTGGAGGCAGAGATAATTGTTTAAAGCTGTAGCACAGAGGACCGAATGAGTTTATTTGGGCTTCCAGTAAATCGGCTTACCGCAAAACAAAACAGCTCTTACAGTTAGCGTTCAAAGGTTCACATTATCTTGGCACTTGTTCATTTTATAATCAGGCTAAGCAGGTAGAAGGCCTGTATACTGAACTTCCTCATATTTGTCTATTTACTGGAAAAGACAGGTTACATAGATGCTTTATGTAGCACTGATTTTCAGTTACTTAAAAAACAATTCAAGCAACAGTAGTGTCCTTCATCCAATCTCTACATCAGGATAATGTTGCAGATAAAGCTTAGGGTGAAAAGAGTGAAATGTTCACTAAAAGTATTTAGCCAACAATTGGGTCAGAAGGTAGAGATATGCTGCATCAGCAAAATGTGTCGGAAGGGATAGCAGAAGTTACTTATTAAAATGCCTGGTTTTGCACAGTCACACATAGCTTTTTTCTTCACAACACAAAACTGTTTTATATTCTAAGATCCATGCTTGCCGTGGCAGCAGCTTACCTGCACAGGTCAGAGGAGAACATGTAGAGCACTTCGTTTTTACTGATGATTGGGTGGAAAGAAGCTCCGTTGGTTCCGTTGATCATATTGCACTCATCCGACGTCCACCAATCCAACGAGCTGCATCCACAATCCAAACAATTACAATTGTTTTATTTTGTAATCAGAAACAGTTTTATATGCAATGAGACCGCCTGAGCTTCACAACTAAAATAGTAAACACAGAAACAGTATCGTCTAATTACTGAGAACTCTGGAAAGGATGCGTAAACATATCCAAACCTAATCTCTTTGGCTACTTAAGCCATTGCGAAGCATAAAGGATGGTTGAGAATTGTGATGATTTGGGCTCCTTGGAACTTTGTTAAGAATTCAAATTACCATCAAGTATTTAACATGCCATAGCATGGCTGCTGAGAGGGCAGTGAAAATGGGTTAACCTTTGAGATCTTTGCAGAATTAGTTAACCACAAAAATATTGAAAACAATAACAGACACAAAATTAGCAAACTGCTGATGCAAGTCACTCATATGACCCATTTCATTTAAAACAGTCTACAAAATTAGTGACGGATTAACAATAGGGGGGGATTACACAAAGTGCTCTAAAAATAATAGATACTGACTCTGGGTTTATCGAAACCTGAGGGAGTAGATTACTTTACTGAGATACAAAACAAAAAAAGGCATCTACCTTTTCCCATTCCATGTGTCCACTCTTGCAAAGTCCTTATAGTTCTGCTGGCCAGTAAAGAACAAATATTCTCCATCGTCTGAACCATTGTTTTTATAGAAAAGTCCAAAATTGTCATCCAGATTAGGATCAACCACTTTGAGGGCTTTAAGCAGGCCGTCTTCATATCCCCACAGTAGCTCCCCCACAGTGTGGGTGGTGAACAGGCCAATTTCTTGGGAGAGCATGTAGGCAGAGATCAAGTTGGCTGCAACCTTATTATCCTTAAATCTTTCCATTACTGTCTATAAGGGAGAAAAATGCAGGAAAATCATCTTTTTCAGCAGAAGTAAAATAACAGGAGGTTTGTAAAACCCATGAAATCTTCTTTTATCTTAAATATTGAAAACATATCTAACTATTCATTGTTTATTTAAAAAAAAACTTCTAAAAAGCTCAACAACAGCTAAAATAATAAGATTTTATTTCATTTTAAAGCCCTGAGAATCAGGAATTGTATAGAATCAGTTACTATAATAGCCCCATGAAGCAAGCTTAAACACAAGTTACTGTGTACATTCAACAATATTTAAGCACTTTTAATAAACATATATTTGTCTTTTGACTAAGAACCAAAAATTGTTAACATTTTTTTTAGTTAAATAAAATCTGCTAAACATTTCCGTTTTGTTTTTAACCTGTAATTTTTTTAATCAAATGTTAAGATTTTGCTCTTATTTAAAAACTGAAAAAATAACATAAACTAGAGAAACTTATATGTAACTCAATTACTGAAGAAATAAGAGAGCTTCTGTTTATTCTTTCGCTCACCATAGCAGGGATGTTAACCGTTCTGATGAGGTCACTTTCGGGACCTCTGGACATGTTGCGCTCAAAAAAGTAGGTTTTAGGGTTGACGGCTGCAACTCTAGTCCCATTACTCCCGAAGACCACCTCCTCCATGGGCCGGTGTTCTCTGTGCCAGGGGAAAATTAGACAATAATATACAGCTTATAGTTCTAATTAAAGAAAAACAAGAACTATTATAATCAAATTATTTTTCCACTCAAATAATTTCTTGTACATTTATTTCAATTTGAATTTGCACTTTTAAAATCATCAAAAGTACTGTAGAGCTACAGGTACTGGATGAAATAACTGTTAACTGATGATTTTCTCACAGATGTTATGGCTCGTCATTTAAAAAGGCCATCTGGGCTATGCAGCAATGGTTGTATTGTATTTTTCAAAACCATCTTCCTTTTATCTCATATTCCCGCTGTTTCTGCCATTTTTTAATGGATCTTTCTTTTAATATTCTATTTATTATCCTCTAAAATAATAGTATTATCTTAACTTTCTTAGCTTTCTGCAACACTCTGTATTTGAATAACCGTATGGAAGCATTTAATAATTGCACTTATACACAAACTTTTACATAGGTATAAAGTGGAAGGAAATGCTAAGTGTTTTTAAAAACATTCTCGATATGAAAGGATTTGAAATTTCCTTTTAATGCCCCCGAATCATATTGATTATTATAGGGCTGCAACTAATGAATATTTTAATCCAATAGCAAAAGGATCCTTGAAATAGATTTTTTTTACAGAATTAAAACAAATTAAACTAAATCTTTTCCACTGCAGGAGCTCTGGGAAGAGTATTAATGGACAATTTTTAAAAAAAAAATTCTAAATACTAAATATTTATGTATTTCTTTGCAGTTTAAATATAATTACTGCTCTAAGTGTGTTGCTCTCTCAGCTAAAGGTGTGTTTTAGAGTCTCTATACTCCAATTAATGATTAATCAATTACTAAATCAATAACTAAATCACGATCAATCAAAATATTTGTTTCAGCCCTAGAAAGTTATATCAAAAAAGTTGAAGTAAATATAAGCTTCCTTGCTTATAAAAGATAACTTTTAAGACCAAACAGTCAGGTGGATTTTTATTTTCCTTTCTAGTAACCCAGTTGCACTTTGGAAAACAGTTTAGTTCCACCATTCATTTCTCATCAAGGAATTGGTACGTTTGCCCTGAGGCCTAACTGCAACCACCTGTAGAATTGTTTGTGCCCTGAGCTGCTTAGTCTGTTAAAAGAAAAAGAAACAAAAACAAAATAAGCGGTTCTGTTCTTCTTTTTGGTTTTAATGGTGGCGGGCAAACAATGGGGGGAATTACCACCAAAGCCCAATAAAGGGTGGGGACCAGGACAAACATGCTCGAGAAAAGACAAAACAATTACATTTAAAGTAATCCAGTTACCAAGAACAAAAAGCTTATATCATAAGTACTTTTCCTTAAAATAGTCTGCTCTTTTTACCTGTTCAAAACTCCTTATTAATTGTGTTCTTTCTCTTATGCATACAGATATAATCATACGCTCTGCCGTTTCCACAGAATTCACAAATTCTTGTTTCATGTTCACATATGAAACAAAATGTTGAATTAAAATCTTTAGGTTCAAAACCCAATCTACCATTTATTTTCTGTATTCTGTCCCTTTGAGTTCTCCCTTTAGCTTCTTTATATTCTGTAAAACAGTCTTCATTTGATCCTTTCTCCCCATTTTTCCTTGATCCTTATTTTAAATAATGCATTTCACCTTTTTTTCCCAAATTTGGATTCCTATATCACAACCAGCCTTAGCAGGCGATGCTTTCTGCTATATCCTTTACTTTCACCCCTAAATGTGCAGCAACCCATCACTGTTCTGCAGCTGGCCTCTCACCTATATGTGTATGGCCCAATCTCCATCACAGCTGGCCTCTCCCCCTTCAGCACCTCCTCTGGGTTTGTCAGATTGAAGAAGTAAAACTGCATGTAGACTGGAGCAGGAGGATCTAGCCAAGCCTCAAAAGCATCTGTCCCATTTCTCAGGACTACTTCCTAAAGGGGACAAAAGGTTAAATAAGGGTTAAAGCATCTGACCTCGAATGATCATGGTTGAATCATTTGCACATGATGAATTGTCTCCCATCACATGACAAAGAAACTGTGAAATTATCCTTTTTTTCTGCAGAGGTGAGCATTTAATTATGATTGCAAAGGGATTAACTGTTTAACTGTATATAAATGTTTAGCTTGTTCATGACGTTGCAGCTATCCTCCATTTTTAACATGAATATTTTCCCTAATCAAAATTAGGACACAAAGTGTTTAATAAATGTAGCTATAACGCAGCATTAGCTGCAACAACTCCAAATGTGGATTAATTATATAAACGCAGCACATGAATAGTCTAATGAACCTCCTCAGCTCAAAACAAATGGTGGAATAAAGAGATACATTCAGAATAATAAAATGTTGAGCTAACAAATAATCAGCTTACCGTTTTAACCAGCGACTGCATAAGATTTGGAAACACGTTGGATAAAACTAAAGCGATGCCGATGATCAGCATGAGCAAAGAAGACGCCCCGATGCTGTAGATAAAACATGGTTTCAGCGGCATTGTGAGGCAGCAGAAACTGTCTGAGCAGACAGAGGAGCTACTGACAGGGCTGTTTTTGTTTTGGTTCGGGGGTGAAAGCGTCCGTCCCAGGAAATTGTTCGATGGAGCAAAGAGTCACTTCCGGAGCGAAACAGATTCCTGTCACCATTTCCGGTTTCGTCAGCAATTTGCGGTTTCTTTAGATCGTTCAGCTGTAACGGTGCAATTTAAAGTGTCTCTATTCAGTTTGGTTAATGTTTTATTTTTGTTTTTTCTGCATCAAATATAAAGCGTGTAGAGTTTTAGTGGCATAAGATATGATAGAACTTTTAAAAGAAAATTTTTAAATATCCGCTTAACGCAAAAAACACAACAGAGGATTAATATCTTGAGCATGATAACTCTTTCGAAACTTACATAAACCTTTATTCTTTGTTATCAAAATAGAATAGAATAGATAGAGTAGATTAGAATAGAATAGAGTAGATCATAATAGAGTAGAATAGAATAGGATAGATAGAGTAGATTAGAATAGAATAGAGTAGATTAGAATAGAATAGAATAGAATAGAATAGAATAGAATAGTTCAGCAGTCTGATGGCGGTGGGGAAAAATCTGATGCAGAATCTGCTGGACCTGCATTATATATTCAATGCAAATCTGGATGTACATATATATATATGTATGTATAGATAGATAGATAGATAGATAGATAGATAGATAGATAGATAGATAGATAGATAGATANATAGATAGATAGATAGATAGATAGATAGATAGATAGATAGATAGATAGATAGATAGATAGATAGATAGATAGATAGATAGATATCTACCTTTAAACTAGATATATATCTAGTTTAAAGGTGACTTATACATACTTTTCCTTTTCCCCACTATCAAAAGTACAAGGAAAAAAATTTACTCTCTGCATTTAGCCCATCCCCTTGGGAAGCAGGTGGCTGCCATTGTGTGGTGGCCGGGGAGCAGCGTGGGGATAAGGGTCTTGGTCAGGGACCAGAGTGGCAGTCTGTGAGAGTGGGGCTTGAGCTCAGAAGCTCTGGATTCCAAGCGAAATGCCCTAACCACAAGGCCGCCACTCCCTCCTCAATTGAGGAGATTCCAAGATATACAGCACCTTATGTACAGTAAAGTGGTGGCAGATAAAGGGCGGTTTCGGGTTTGTTAAATAGATAAATAGTAAAGGTTATTAAAGTGGTATTACATCTGGTTATAGTGAATGTGAACAAATGTGAACCTATATGTTGGTGTTTATCTGTTCTATATGTCGTATATGTGAGTAGTATAATATACCCACTCAAACATTAAGGATTTGATGACTGCATATTTTATAGAAAACTACTGCACACTGTAATCTAAAGCTGTAAAAAAAAAAAAAAATAGCTTTGATTTTCGAAAAAAAAAAATGGAACAAAAAAATCAAATCAATATTTTATTTAATCTGTAAAAACATGGACCATTTACTTTTTTAATGCATGGTTGTGTTTTTCATCTTGCATACAAAACTTCCAGTATTTAATTTAATTTTCTTTGTTTTTAAACTAAAATGTCTTATTTGAAATTAACAAAACATTTGATCCCAATTTAACTCCAGAGACTTCTTGTCAACCACTCATAAATTCCTGATACTAGAAAGCAGACTTGCTTCACCCGTCTGAGCCCTGAGCTGTGGATGTCTGCAGTTCCCCAGATTTTCTTCCTGTTAAAAAGGAGTTTTTCCTCTCCACTGTCGCTACAAGGATGCTTAGTGTGAGGGATTGTCTTCGAGTGAATGAGTTAATACATTCACCGGTTTTCCTTAGATAGAAAACTTTGAATCAACTTGACAGTATGATCTGGTTGAATAGTAAAGTGCCTTGAGATGACATGTGTTGTGAATTTTCGCTATGTAAATAAACTGAATCAAATTGACTTGCACTCATGACCAAGCCTGTTAGTTCAGTCGGATGGCTTAATGGTCAAGTCTTGTTTGATTTGAAGTTGTGTCAAGCTTTCTAGTTTTAAATAAAAACTAGGGCAAGGCGGCGTTGGATACAGGAGACTGCCCTGGAAATGGAGGGTTGTCGGTTCAAGCTCCAGCTTTTAGCGTCGTTGTGTCCTTTGGCAAGACACTTCACCTGCATTGCCTACTGATGGTGGGTTAGGGTTACTGTTCAGCCACTGTTCAGCAGCCTAGCTTCTACTGTATCAGTGAGCCCAATACCAGCTGGGACTACAATGTAGCTTGCCACCATCAGTGTGTGAGTGATGTGTGCATGCTGGGCTCTGGTCATTCTCCTGACTTGAGAAAAAAAAAAGTACAGGCAATTTATCATTGAAATAATGAATTGGGCAGAGTTCTTTGAAACATTTTAAGGTTGTCATGCTATTAAAAACAAAACACTTCAAAACCTTATCTCTCTGTGACTCCTAAGGTGGTGTGTTCCACAGCATTTTTTAGGGATTATTAGTTTTACAACTTTAAGTTTTTTTAAAACTTAAAAAACATTAAACCAATATATTTTGTGTTGGTCTACATGAAAAAATCTATAAAAAGCTTTAATGTGTTGGGTACAATAAGGTGAAAAAATTAAGTAATTTCCCCTAATTTCAAGGTATTACTGTATTTGCTGTATCAAAACTATGTTTACTCAATGCTTAGACATAATACACCGCATTTTTCCTCTATTTTTCTTTACAAACATTTGTTGTCAGGGCAACATAAATGAGCAGGGAAAAATAAACCTAACTTCATAATAAAAGCATAAAAAGCCACTCAACCTAAAGTTAAATAATAGTGTTAAGATGTACTTCCACTAGATGGCGATGTCGAACTGCTTTCTCAAAAGCTTTCTATTTAGTTTTAGTTTGGCAGTTTGCATAACTTACTGAAATTAATGTGGTTATTGAGTCATGGTTTACATTGAAACTGATCCCAAAAAAGGTGAACAAAGAGTGAGAAACTGTGTTTCAGTCTGACATAGACTTTTACTAATTTTAACAAGAAAGTGTTTAGCTTATTTTTAATATGCAAATTGTAAAATAGGTTAAAAGTCAACCACACACCGTTTACAGACATTTGTTATATTTCTCCCGTGTTTTCTGGTGTTATTTTTGTTGTAATATTTAGATAATGAGTAACCAAGGAAACATTATCTCATCTTTCCACATACCCTTTGCTGACAAACACGTTAGTGCTTGCATTATTAAGTTCCATTGCACTTGTGTGTCAACACATTGGCTTTAATTCATAAAGATATGTTCGAAGGGCAAAGCTTTTAGACTTACATGTTCAGACATGGAGCGCTGCAAAGCTAAATCAATATAATTTATCTTCTTTCTCAAGGCTCATTTGGGCAGGTATCACTTTGTGATCAAAGAATTAAGAGAATTATTTAATAATAGAATGTTTTTTTATGGATAAATTACTGTAAAAACAATCTCAGGGAATTTTACATGAAAATAAAGAATTTCAAACGTGGTGACATTTTTTCAGTTAGTTTTAAGTCAGATGTAATCTAAAAGCAAAGAGCACAACTGAAAGGAAGTTGACCAAATCAAATTGAGGCCAGTCAATAAAAAGATAACAGTCTAACCTATAAAGAAATAATCAGATTGGACATAATTTATCTAATTTATTCCTTCATTCTAGGCAAGCACCTTGCAACAAATGTTGAGAATCCACTTTTTCTCAAGAGAATGAAATCTTCTGTTCCTGACCTGGTGAAATTCAACCTTGATGAAATGTGCCTGGCCCAAATCTCTGACATTAATTAATAGTACTAATCTTCTTTCTTTTTTATGTTTTTTTTATTCATTATTTTATCCTGCATGTATCATTTGACCTGCTTCTGTTTTTGTACTGTTCAGCATAAATATGTTTTACAGCTAATTGGAATTCAATAAAGCAAAAGAAATGCTTCAAACTAAAATGTATAAATTGAGACTTTGTTTATCTTTGCTTTTATTTATTTCATTGCATCCCATATCTCCCACTTCCACCCTGCTCACCATCCCTATAAGAAGACAGCATAATAACTGATCTAGTCACCCATTGTTTGATTGTGGAGAACCCACGGCTTGACAGGACAGGAAATACACAGATAGTTATGCTTTTGGCTATAGCTACATAGAAGTGGTGGTTCTAGACCAATTTCACCACAGGGGCCTGCGTGGGTCTTTTTTCTTTTGCAATTTTTTTCTTATGGAGGCAAAGGAATACAGCAAAAAGTACAGGGAAACAGTTTATTATTTTAAAATAACAAAAGAGCCAAAAATCCAATCACAGCGCTTGGTTCCCCGCCCACAGCTGAAGCTAAATGAATGCGTTAATTTTTAAAATCATTATTAAGCTTTGAAATTAAAAATTAAACAAAACGACATTTATGACCAATTATTTAAAGCTTCTGTGCCAAAGCATATCATCATAAAAAGATGATTTGGTATTATGTCTGAGCTGCTTTGCAAAGAGAAATAGGCAAATGTTTCCCTCTCTCTGGAAGAGTCATATCCTGACATACTTTGAGATGTAATTATATTCAACGGGGAATAGCAAAGTATCCTGTCTGCATGTTTGTTGTATGAAACAAAACATTTTTGAAATTCATCATAGTTAAAGGTTGTAATGCTTTTAAATAAAGAAAAGTTAGAATACTTTTAAACGGGAATGCATGTTTGCATCTTAGAATAGAATAGATTTCTGATTCAACTGTGTTTAACCCTTTATAGGGCAAGCTACCATTTCTGATCACTTGCATACCCCTTACAAATGGAGTCCCCTCTGCCATCAGTGAGGTCTAGAGGCACAAGATCTATATCCAGCCATTCAGCAAAGATACTCATACAGTGCTTTTAATCTTATTTTAGGTTTTGACCAATTATATGAGCCCTTGAAAGTCAAGAAAAAAGTTAAAAAGTCAAGAAAAAAAGGTAAAAAGCTAATTGAAAAGTTAAAAACTTAATAAGCCTGGTTAACAATTATATTTAGGTTTATAAACTAAAAAAATGAAGTGCCAGTATCAGCATTAATGCTCCCAAGGTTATGTCATACAAAAAAAAACTGTTTCTTTCACACCCAGATTGTTTTTCATGAACCTTATAGAAGCACTTATTTTTTTATTTTTTTTGTATTTTTCTTAACATATTCAGGGAAGTTGACGTTTCTTCTTTTAAAATTGACATTTATTTTTGCCATCAAAATATTACAAAGGTAATAAGGTCTTGTTCTGGATTCCAGTAACACTATTGGCTTGAAAGGTGGATTTTCAAAGGATTTCACTGAGTGCCCTATAAAGGGTCAAGATGTTTGAATGCGTAAAGAACTTAAAATTTGTAAAAGCAGTTAGGATATAACACTGTATCCTACTGCCATACAGGCCATAACCAGTTCTACAGGGTCACTGGCCCCTGGTGGCCCCTGTCTAAAATCACCCATTCTGCCAAAACTTGCAGGGTTAAATAATAAACCTCTCTGTCTCAGTGAAAATCATTTATTTTTGGCGGAATGCTCCTTTAACAATGAATGGAGCACAATGGAGAGCAGGGGCGTGACGTCACGCTCCTAAAACGGGCTCCAGGCTGAGGCAGCCTTTGAGTTCATTCCAGCCAGAGACCAGACGGAGTCCAGACCCAACTTTTACTGTTTGCTGGCTGAATCCAACCGCTGCTTCTCAATACACCGTTCGGCCTGACTTGTCTTCACCCCGGCTGGCTGTTTAGTTCAGAAGCTGATCAGTTTTGTCCCGAAAATAAGAACGAACGAAAGAAAGAAAGCCGTTGTTTCTTCCTATGCGTCCCAGCCTACCCGGTGCGTCCAACGCGCACAGTAAGGTAAGGTCGGTTGGTTGTTGTCTGTGCGGCGCTTTTACTAAAACCTGACAACTGTGAAGAAATCTCAGCGATGCTTTGAACGAGTTCCCGTTGAATCTCTAAGCTGATAATGCATCGCTCTTTGCTGTACATGCATGATGCTTCACGCATTGAACAACCAGTTAAAGCTGTGCACGGTGTTCACATGCTGTAGGAATTGGGAAACCATAGTCTGAGCTGTTTGTTTGCTCACTTTCCTTCTTTGTGGCATCTTATTCAATCAGTGTTATTTTCCAGATGAACAGCTTTGCTTTAAAGTATGGCCATTCTGCTGAAACTTTAGTGATATGAACAATCTTACTGAACAGAAAGATGTGTAAACAGAGATAAACTGCATTTTAAATCTTTACCATTGTTTAACTTATGCAGGCTACTCCTTGTCAGTTAAAAAGTTGAATTTAAAGTTTGCAGGGGTCATGCAGGGGACACAGAAAGCAGAAAAGGTGCTCTGGTTTGGTCCTTTTGTCCTTATGTGATTATGAAAAAGTCAACTCCAAATTATCCTAAACCTGCTACCTTTCTGCTCCCTACATTAACTTATAGTGAAGGCAGTGTAGGATGATCAGTTAATGGAAATACAGGAGTTAAAAATATAGGACAGAAAATGTTTTGAGGAGATCCATCACCCAGGACAGTGACACTAATAATCAGTTAGTTAGGACAGTTAATAATCTCAGTCAACTACTGTGTGTTCTTCCCTTAGGTCTCTACTGTGCAGATTTTTTTATATCTAAGGGAAACATATTCCAGGACACTACAACTTTTTAAAATTTTTTAAAATGTTTTTTTGGTACTATATAGAGTCTTTTTTTATATTGTCTGTTGTATTTTTTTATCTTTAATGGCCAGAATTTCCTTGAAGGAGTAATCCCAAGGGATAAATAAAGTTGAGTCCAAGTCTAAACTTGCTGGCAGAGCTACAACCGGAATAATATAGCATAACCTATCCATTTGATAGAATGGCCTAGTTAAAGTCCAGGCCTAAACTGATTTGTAAAAAAAAAAAAAGAAGTCAAAATCATGTTTGCAAACACAATCAACTTTGACTGAGCTGCTTTGCAAAGAGAAATAGGCACGTTTCCGTCTCTCTGGAAGAGTCATATCCTGAAATACTTTGAGTTGTAATTGTATTCAACAGGAAATAGCAAGGTATCCTGTTTGTTTGTTTGTTTAAAAAAAAATATATATATATTTATATTTTTTGAGATGATAAAAAATCCTTTAAATTTCAGGTTTATGCCCTACATTATGGTATTTTATGAGCCATAACTCATTTTTGAAATTCATCATAGTTAAAGGTTGTAATGCTTTTAAATAAAGAAAAGTTACAATACTTTTAAATGGGACTGCATGTTTGCATGTTAGAATAGAATAGATTTCTGATTCAGCTTTTTTTAAGATGTTTGAATGTGTAAATAACTTGAAATTTGTAGAAGTAGTTAGGATACAACACTGTAACTTGGCATAAGCCAGATTGATACCGTGTGGAATTCAAATTGAAATGGACGTATCGACCTAGAAAGAAGGAGGGACATTCAGGAGAATTCTTCGAGCTGATTGGGTACCTGCCTCCAATGTAGAGTTTTTTTTTGCAAATCATAGCAACAAATTTGTTTAACAACTAGTGGAGTTAAAGGTATTGTGGAGGATTTTTTCAAATTTTTGGAAAACCTCCCTGTACCTGTTCCCGGGAGGGAACACCTATTAAAAGCATGCAAGAGTGTGAATGAGCCCATTTCTCCTCGTGCACGCTCTGTTTAAAAGTTCCTGTCTGCATCACTCATACAAGCTTACTTTCAAAAAGATTTGCAATTTTTCCACTATGTCAGTCTTACACCCGGTAAGTGAAAATAGGGACGAGCAGGTAGGCCTTATGTAAACATATCACCAGAATGATTGACAATCAGGCGGACCACTTATTTTGATGATCCACCTGCAAACAAGAAAAAGCAAAAATTACATATTTTTGCTCATTTTTCAAAAAGAGAGGGCATTCCAGCTAAAACCGGAGCAGCCATGTTTGTTTTGCTTCTGCCTAGGGCTGAAACAATTAATCGGATCAATCGTGATTAATCGATTATTGAAATAATCGTCAACTAATTTAGTAATCTGTTGATCATTAACTGCAGTTTAGAGACTCTAAAACGTGCCTTTAGCTGACAGAGAAACATGCTTTGAGCAGCAGTTATATCATAATTGTAAAAGAAAAAAGTAAACATTTTGCATTTAAGACATAATCATTTTCATTCATCAATATGCGCCATCTAGAACTCCTCAAGTGGAAAAGTTTTTGTTTCACCTGGTTCAATTTTGCAAAAAGCCTTCTTTAAGGAACCTTTGGCTATCTGATTATTGATTTTTTTAACTGAAAGAAAATAATCCTCAGATTAAACGATTTGCTAAATAATTGTTAATTGCAGCACTACTTCAGCCACTGGTTAACGTGTTGATGTCATCCAGTGGCTGCTTTTCATTGCGCCCAAACATTTCTGCACCGAGCCGAACGCATCTGTTGGCTCCTGGCAAGAAGTATTTTCAGGAGTTTGTGAATTCCCAAATCTTGCAACAATTCATCTTGCTTGCGAGGTAAACAACACTGGGTATCTTCCACGATTTATCACGGCCTTTTCAGAACACACAGCATGTTCAGCCTCCGTTAACATTGCTTATATTAGCTGAGGTGAAACTTATGCTTTTCAGTTATTCTTGTCTACTGAGCTAATGCTTATAAAGCTGTCCCCCCTGGTGGGACTAATAAAGTGTTCTAAGTCGTTATTAAGTATTGTAAGGTTACAAATATGTGTTGGTTTACTAATGATATGTAACCTGTGAATCAGTAGTGATGCTATATTTTCAACTCTTTCACTGTTACCTAGTGGAAGAAAAATCCCCCCTAAGCACTTAATGTGTCAGACTTCTGCAGAGTCACATATAAAATAGAAGGAGACGCCTCTGAGGCCCTGTTTAAACATCTGTGTTTTGTTCTTCGCAGGAGATCAGCGAAGCAATTTGAGTGACTGACTGCATGGATCGGACTTAACATGAAGAGCCTCAAAGCCAAGTTTAGGAAGACTGATGTAAGTGCTCAGACATATGTTCTCGACTGTATTGGCTGTGCGCTCATATGTATAAGTCTGTGAGCGGTTTGACTCACTGTCTGTGTATGTTTGGCTCAGGGATTTCATGGAAGGATTTTTTTGGCAGAATTTCCCAGCTTTGAGGCCAACAGCAACCTATGGCGTATTGATAGAAAAAGGAAACTGGGAGGAAAGAAATAAATACTGTTTATAGATAAGGTCTGTGCAATCCATTTGCGGCTCTCTGTAGAGCTCTTATAACTGAAAAAGCATGCAATTTATATATATATGTACCAGCTTTTCAGTTCATGTTTGTAGTATTTCTGACATCCTGACAGTGAAAAAAAATGTTATTCATGGGGAAGAGATAGTCGTCTGCACTAAGCTGGTCTACTGAAGTCTATCCAAACTCTGAAACCCTGAGAGTGCTCTCTATTCCAGAACAGGATTTCATCCTGAAAACTATGAATCAACCTTAAGGGAGGAACTTCTCCCTGTCGGTACAGTCATTCATTTGCTCCGGGTTTGACATGCTCTTACAGCCACAGGAAGTTAGGCGTCTCCACACCGTCTGAGTCATCTGTTGTCATGTTGACCCCTTATGACACAAAGCCTGCAGGAAAAGTCTGTAATTCTGAGAAGTTTTTTTTTTTTTTAGGGGGGGTGGAAATGTGTCAGATATAGAGGAGTTAAAGAATGCTGAGTAAATGGCACATTTGGTTTATGTTGACAGTTTCCAGGAGATTAGGAGTGTGTGGGAATGGCATGTGGGAGAGTTACACACTTGCTTTCATTGAGTTTCCCCAAAACTTATTAAAAAAGAATCACTATAGCCTCAGTTTGTGATGGAGGTTTAATCAGAACCCTTTGGTTGCAAGTTCTGCAAATCATTGTGCAGCCACTTCTTGAGATTTGTAAATGTTTTGCAAACCGAGTCCGCTTTATGGAGGAGTACAATGGTGTCCATTGTTCCTCTAAATATTGAATACACAATGGTAAGGTCAAATAGTTGCCTCTCAACAAGTAAATGAACCAAGTCTCACCTTTACTACCAAACAGTTCTCCTGTTATTATACAGGTTGCAGATTATAAGACCCTGAGCTGATGTTGAAGCAAAATGTGAAAACAGCCAGTCGTAGGCGGCAGGAGAGAGGAACGAGAAGAGCTGTGGATGTTGCTTGGAAACACAACTGATGCCATATCAGACATGCCTTTGTAGACCTCCCACTCATACATTGTCACATTTGCTCATAGGATGATTCCTGCAGGGTTTGTCTCTTGCTTTATGTATCATAACATTTTTATCTTAAAACAGTGACATGATATAATATAGACAAATATGCTACTGCTCATTGATTTAGCATTAGCCACGTGAAGCATGGAAGCAACAGTGTTTTGCCATATCTGCAGAGCATGATTGGGTCTTTTAAAAACAAGTCTAGTGTTGTGGCTTCTGTTGGATGTAATTCAGGGTGATTAGGACCAGGTTACTGTCAAAAGACTACATGCCTCTGTTAGAGTTTCAGGTTCTTCTCCTTACTCAACTGAAAATGAACAAATCTGTGAGGTTTTCAAACCTAAGATATAAAAATAAGGCAAGGTCAGAGATAGAATTAGGTGTTCAAATGTATCTACTGTGACTCCCAACTCTTATATCTAACCTTTAATGGCACAATAATAGTTAGATTACAACTGGATGTTTCTCCAGAATAAATAAAAAAATACATGATATATGTTACTTATAAGGCTGCCGAGAGGCCCACAGCTACACTACATGAGCTGCATCATTTTCTGGCATACTAGATAAGTAGTAAGCCAGAAAGGTTTAAGCCTGGCTTTAATATAAGACTTAAACCTTCTAAGATGTGTTGTAGCCTTAAAAAATTAAATAAATTAAAAATTCTGAATAATGTCAGCAAAATAAGACCTTATCAAGTCAAGATGTAGAAACAGATAAACTCCTACCAAATTAGCCTCTAATAATAACACTATAATAATGACTGAAAGACAAGATGTTTCAAGAATGTATTAATTTAAATGTCTGCACATTTATGCCACCAGGTTATTGTGTATTTTTTATATAACCCCCAAATTAACAATTACATCTTAAATACATTTGTACTGGATACATATAACTATATAAAGTCAAAGCTTTTTTTTTTCCTAGCAGCAGCTTACCTTTTAATACTTGCTGTCTCCAGAGAATATTTCTGTACATTTTTATTTTTGCATTTATGATTTGACCATATTTAGATAAAGCTTAAAAAGTCAAACATTTTTTTTAATTAAAGAACGCAGCCTTTTTATTGCAGTGAAATCTTGGCAGTTTTGCAGTCTCCTTGCATAATTAAATAAGAAGTTATTATAAAAGAGGAAAAGGTTTCACAGGGTAATGTGTTTATCCTTGCCAATGGTCGTTCCACAGCTTTTTATAGAGAACCGAAGCACTTTAATAGAAAGAAAACATCTCATGGGTTCTATTTTAGGTTTTGTGTGTCACTGACCGATTGCTAAGGAATTTACCCCTCTCCCAACCTCCACTACCACCCTAAAACTGTCTGTTTTTTTCCCCTTTTACATAAATAACAGAAAGCTAGACCCGTTGTAAATAGCTTTTTGATGAAGTAAACATATTTCAAGACCGATAACCAGTGCTGGAGTCTGTGGCTGAGATTAGGACATTAATGAAATGCTTCTCTTTAAGTGCCCTCCTCCTCCAACAATGTGAACTGAGTGGAACAGGCTGCCAAGGCTTCACTTGAACACCTCCACAACACGAGGTCCAAATGAGGCAGATATTTAAAAAGCAGGAGACTGTGGGAGAGACCGAGATGTTATTTTTGAAACCGATATAGACGGATAAGAGCTCAGTGATAACAGCGAAGGATAACATTGGGATTTTCTTTTTTATGGTACTATGGAGAGGACAGCATAATTGCATGTAAATTACTAAGACTGTGATTAGAATAGATTTCTACTCGTATCGGCAAAAGCTTCAACTTCATTCATTAATTCACTGTTGGCTGCCTCCTGTTTTATTGGCTCAGGGAGCCATTAAAAGAGAGAGCAGTCCATTATGGAATTTATTACATGAGCTTAAACTGAACTAAGAAGACTGATGACATGTTTTAATGTTTAAAAATAAGGTGCATTAAAATTAGGGTGGTCAAAAACATAAAAAATGCATTTATTAACATCCAAAACTCACCGTTTTAAATCACAATATTTAACGGACCTTTTTAATAGGATCACACATTCTTTTAGTTAAATAAGTGCTCAAATAAATATAAAACAATTAACCCA